AATCCACCAACTCAAACTATCCAAGCTATCCAAACCACCAAAGGAGAAAAGTGGAAAAGCGGATGTTAGCCAACGATTAATGTTTGCAAAAATTGCGAAAACCTTCATTAAGCCTCCTTAACTTCAGGTTTGTTCACAACAATTATCAATAAATGGTTTTTTTGATATACCTTCTGAATATATTCACCTCAGTCTATAACTAACTGTGTCTTAATTTTTTTAATATTTATTAACTTCATGTTTGTTTACAACAATTATCAATAAATGGTATTTTTACATACCTTCTGAATATAATCACCTCAGTCTATAGCTTAATGTCTCTTAATTTTTTAAATATTTATTAACCTCCTCGAAACACTATATCAATCATTTTAAAACAACACCAATGTATTTAAGCTTTCTGAAGATCAACATTATTTTAGCTATTATTATAGGCATTAAAAAAATCTATAAATAATATATACCTATATAAAATAATATAAATAGGTACCTACTATAAAATAATATAGTTATATTTATTCAATAGAAAAGTCTTTATATATAACTGATTAAGCCTTAAGATTTTCCTGAAAATACTTATAAGTAAATGATTAAATGCCTTGTACATTTTTTCATTCCATAGTCTTATTTATCTAGGTGACTTATGACCCATCCTAGGTTATTTTTCATTATCCAAGTTCAAACCTGCAGTTCATTAATATCGACAGCCACTCGGAATTAATCTTCGTTTTTTCACAATCAAAAGCACATCAGGGCTTTCGGTTTTTGGGCCGTGATCTGAACTAGTTTCATATGGATTTTCGAGCTAGAAAACGGGAAAAACAAATGCTTCGAACTGGAGCACAGTTGTCTATGATGATTTGGCTGGGGGCCAAAGCCTAAGGTTGATTTGCTCGATGGCCAAGAGGGGGTACAAAAAAACTGGAAGGGAATAGCCCATGGGCAACGGCAGCAGCGACTCAGAACATTAATCTCGCCAGTCTTGGCTGGAAATTAAAAATAATAAAGCACTAAATGGAAAATGAAGCGAGGCTGCGGAGGAATGGGATGGGTGGCCATGGAATTGGATGGGCAGGGAGCAACCTCAGATGCAGCAATTCGCTCCGCTCGGCTGCGTCCTAGATTCTCCCAGTCCAAGTCCCAGTCGCAGTCTTGATCACCGTTTTCCCAGCTTTTCCCCGAACTTGTTGCGTGTGCCTGGCCGAGTTGATTTCCTTGTTGTGGTCACTCCACACCAGCCACTGGCCACCAACCACTGGCCACCAGTCACTAGCCCCTGGTGGGCGTCTTTCGGGGAGGGGGCGGAGGAGCCACCAGCACGTGGCTAGGTTGTTAGTGAAGGCACTGAGATAAATACCTTTGATAGTCCACAAGAAGAAAAACAATAGATTTTTACCTTAATGTATTTAAAAAAAATTTTAACACAAGTTATCTTGCTCGTAGTCCATAGGTCAGACTTTCGTCTCCTAAAAGTGATTTGGTAAGGTTAAAAAAACATTAAAATGTCTATAAAACATCATAAATAATAAATTCTACATAATCAAAAATATAGATTAAAGTTACTTAAACTCTCTTAAAAACATGTTGTACATTTAAAAAAAAAAACAGAACAGATTAATTTTTATAAATGTGTTATTCTATTGATGAAAGACAGTGAAAAGAAATCCTGTTATAAAAATAGAAAATAAAATATTGTTTTGATATTCGCTATTTTAACTAATAATAAATATATTAATAATAACTGTAATCAATAGAATATATATATTTTTCTAAGATTTGCTAAGAAATATAAGAGAAATTATTTTAATAAACTTATAAAATACTATTAAAATGTTTTTGGGATAACAATATTTGTAAACATTTTATAATTCGCGATTCATTTATTTTGATGTTTCAAATATTATTTATAGTAATTATGCCAGTAAAATCCTAAAAATAACTATATTTAACTTTTAAAAATAAAATTACTAAATGATTATCAGTTTGATCTAGTTTTTCTACGTGCATTTACTAGTTGTACTTGCCGCTGCCTGGTCAAGCAAGCGGAACAATGGGCGGCTGAGGAGCCGAAGACGAGGCTTCAAGACCAAGCCCATCAGCCATCGAGCATCCACTCCACATCCACATCCAAATCCACATCCCAGGTGCACCACTGCCACCACCAGGCAGCCACTTGCACCAGCGATTTTCTAATTAAATGTTGCCACAAGCCAACTGCCTGTTTTGATTTTGATGTTAGCTAACCGGAGGCAAAAAGAGAGATGTTTGGCAAGATCGAACATGGATCAATCCGTGAACTCGACGCTTTGACATGGCCGAAAAATTTCAGCTGGCCCCCAGGGCAATCAATGCGACACAAATCCCAGCTTCTTCGTTGTGGGGAAAATGAGGCAATGAAACGCGGTTGGAAAAGTTCGGAAATAGGAATAAATAGATCAGGAAAAATTTAAAAACAATCTAAGGTGAATTATAAATATAAGCTAGCTATCATCTCTAAAGTGATATATTTCTATTAGATTATTAATATATTTTTATACCCGTTACTCGTAGAGTAAAAGGGTATACTAGATTCGTCGGAAAGTATGTAACAGGCAGAAGGAAGCGTTTCCGACCCCATAAAGTATATATATTCTTGATCAGGATCACTAGCCGAGTCGATCTAGCCATGTCCGTCTGTCCGTCTGTCCGTCAGTCCGGATGAACGCTGAGATCTCGGAAACTATGGGAGCTAGGCTATTGAGATTTGGCGTGCAGATTCCTGAGCTTCCTACGCAGCGCAAGTTTGTTTCAGTAGACTGCCACGCCCACTCTAACGCCCACAAACCGCCCAAAACTGTGGCTCCTACAGTTTTGATGCTAGATAAAAAATTTTAACTGGAATGTATTGGTCTCGTCAATACCTATCGATTGATCCAAAAATATTGATAGTCGAGGTACTCGACTATAGCGTTCTCCCTTGTTTTTAAATTTTTTTTCCATCTTTCAATAGATTTATCGTAATTCTTTAATCAACTCTCTTATTTAAATATTGTTAAAAACAAATTAAAGCCTCTCTGAAATATAATAAATTGTAAATCTAAACTATATGTATTATTGGTTTTATGTGTTCTATATGATCCACACATCTAAATAAATATATGTATCTATCTATAGAAACTTTACTTATGTAATATATTGTATTATTTTACTTCTACATAGCTTAACTATTTGATATAAATGTTTATTGTTTATCTTTACTATGTACTATATCTTCTCCACCTTCTCTTTATCTATTCTATCCACTTTATCTGTACCATATAGCGCCACATCAATCGCTTTCTGCCCGGAGCACCCTGCCAGTGGTCACGCCAGTGGACTTCTCCAGTTTCCAGATCCAGATCGTGTGGAATGCTCGACTGCACTTTGCTCGCAACCCAATTTGATGTCACATGCTCAGCCGCCCCACTGCTCCTCAATCGATCTGGGATCTGCGATCTTGGCCAGCTCACGATGATCATTAGCATAAGTCTGGAGCGTTTTGCATTTGGCCCACATGTGTCACACACATATAAAGAGCGCCAAGTGTGTGCATTGGCCGGACATTAAGAAATGGGGGGAAGAAAAACTGGGATGCTGCAGTGCATCCATGAATCTGGATTTTCTGCTCGCTGCTCCAATTTCCTGACCATTTGGCTTACTTTTCGCCGGTTCGTGTGGCATGCAAATGCAGCATTGTGCAACGTTGGATGTCCAGTGTTCAGTTTTCAACAAAGTCTGCTCACCGTTGAATGTGCACGTCCAGTTCCAAGTCCACAGCTCCAGCAGGTTACCAAGACCAGATCCATCGAGGAATTCTTCTAAATTGGTCCACTCACTCACACAAAAGCGCGTGGAAATGGAGGAAGAAAGAGTGGTGCACTGGGGAAAAATGTAATCATAAATATTTACCTAGTTAATAGAAATATAAGATAAGATATACAAAAAAAAATTAAGAATATTTAATCTAAATTTTTAAAAATATTTTATATAAGTATTATAACTATAAATCCTCTCTAGAAGATCTAGATCCATTTTAAGATATCATATGATATGATATATTTAAGTACTTGGAGATTTATATTCCAATGACCATTTGGGTTTTGGAAAGTAACAAGTTCCTTTAAAATAATAAATACATTCGTAGCTATAAAGCATTAAGAATAGACGACGGATTAAAATAGGATTTCTATTTAATAAGCCAATATATATTTTCATCAAATCAAAAAAAAACTATTTGGAGAAAATCTGATCAATAAAATGAATGGAAACACATGAATTCCAACGTCAAATTATAACTAACCTTCTTTGTGTGAGATATTTCATAGAATATATTTCTAGCCAACATTAAAAACCAATCCGTATTTCAAATAACGGTTTTATTATAACACCTTGCCTCCAATTTGATCTTTACCAATACCTTATTGCCCCTAAAAATATTTTCATAAAATCAAAACAACTATTTGGGGAAAATCTGATCAATAAAATGAATGATAAATTCCGACGTCAAATTATAACTTTCCTATAACTATTCCTAGCCAGCACTAAAAACCAATCCGTATTTCAAATAACGGTTTTATTATAACACCATGCCTCTAATTTTATCTTTACCAATACCTTATTGCCCCCAAAAAGTGGGGAATAGATAGACGGAGAGCTATGGTCTTTGATTTTTCTTGGAGCTCCGTTACAGTTGCATAACCTGTATTAGTTGTTATTACCGTTTTGGAGATGATGGCCCGAGAACCGATTGGCTTGGCCATTGATCAGCGGGCCCTGAATTCTTGGATGGCATAGTGGAAGGGGGGAGGGGGGATTGTTGGCACTTGCCAAAAGCGCAGCAAGTGCTCACGCATGCAGCTGCTTTGACGTCGACGGCGACTGCGACTGCGGCAGCGACGCCAACTGCGGCAGAGACAGGTAAAACCAGGTAGCTTACAAGACGCATGCGCGTCGTCTCCAACTTTCAGTTGCTTTCGAGCTGCACAAGGCGACGGTTTAGGTTTTTGGCGCTTACTGGGTGAAGAAAAAAAGAGAGAGAGACTGTCTCCGCAGAGACCCGAAAAGAGAGAGAGACATAGAGAGCGCGAAGAGCGAGCGAAAAGTGAAAGACCGAGAAACCAGCGAAGAATTCTTCGTGCGCGATCGCCGACTTCAAATAACTTCAGTTGCCCTGCAGAATTCCCAGCGATCGGTTCATGCAGCGGATTATTGCGCGTCGCACATCTTTATAAATATTTTTATATATTTTTTTTTTAAGTTCGGTGCTCTCGTGCAGTGTGTTAAATTTTTTTTTTTTTCTGGGTCTACCGTGTATTGAACCCCCAACTTCCTGGCATGTCGTGGCAGCAATTGAAACAATTCGAAACTCGTGCCAAGTGCTAAAATTCCAAGGAAGTTCACAAGTGTTCAAAAAAGCAAATTGCTTAAACCAGCGAAAAACCCCCAAAATAAAACTAAACAAAAATTAAAGAAAAATAAATAAGAAAATTAAGTCAAAATATACTTAAGTAAAACGGACGGACAGCAGGTGTGAGCGAGAGAGCAACAATGCACCGCACGCAGCCGTCGCTGCCTCTGCCGCTGCCTCTGCTGGCGGTGGCGCTGGCGTCGGCGCTGGCTTTTGCGCAGGCGCAGAATATAGGTGAGTGTGTCAAGCGAAAGACGAGAACAAGAAAGAAGTGCTGCGAAAGGTGCCAGAACGGCCAGCGGATACCCTGTTCTCAAAGGGGATATGGGTTCCTGGGAAGATCCCCTCAAGAATGATCGAAAAATCATTATTATCGGGAGCTGGCTTTTGCCGAAAAAGTTCCCTGAATACGCATTTTCAAAAACTTTGATGGTATCTATGGAATGGGATTTATATTCCAGAATTTACATTCAAAATTTAAAAAAATCCCACATAAGCACAAAAGATATTAAAAAAAGCAGTTCAAACTAATAATAATCAATAGACTTAGACAACAAACCGTTCTTTGAAAATACCAAAACCATGTTTGCAGATCCCAAAGGGATAAAAATTCGCCTGCATTTGGTTTATAATATTTAGCAGTTGTCATTGTTTTTAATACATAGGAAAAGCATAATTTTATAGATTTCTTATTTTTACTAACAAATTTATAATTACTACTTGAGTCTGCCCTTTGTAAAAAACATTCTTCATAAGGAAAAAAGCTTACAGTAGAACATTTCCCCAAAGTTTTTTAGTTTTGTAATAAATATATTCTCCCTATGAGCTTTTTCAAGGCAACCCATTTTAGCCGGCACATTTAAAGAGCTCTGCAATAAGAAAACACCTTCAGAAATGGCATTTAACTGCAGCCTTGACATGTGGGAACTTTTAGGGCGGTTAGTTTTAACACAAGCTAATTTGCATAGATTATGAAAGCTTAATTAGCTTGGGTTTAACTTTTAAATCAGTTAGAAAATCTTCCAAGCCAAAGACAATGCATTCAACAGTGAGATCCAACTGAAAGGCATTTGATTTATTTATATTGCCATCAAATGGCAGGAACCCCAAACTGAACACATTTCTAAGTTTTAGGAATATTAATCAAACAAGATATAGTATATAGTATGCCCCATTCTTTAGGGTATTCGAAAAAACCGCACCAACGGCACTCGGAGCCAAAGCAAACAAATTTTCTCTCGTTCTCGTTTGTTGTGGATCCCACTTGTTGCTGTCTTTCTCCGCCGCCTGTTGTTGCCCATTTTCATCACCCATTTTTTTTTGTATTTCGTGTGTGTGCGGCGCACCTTAAAAAAAAAAAAACAGCCGATTCTCTTCTTCTGCTTCATTTTTTCACATTTAATTTTTTATTTTGTTTTTGCATAGAATTTTTTTTTTTCGGCTGATTGTGGCTTTTTTTTTTTGATTTCCGGTTCTGGTTCGAAACAAAAGCAGCGTTTTATAATTTGTATTATTTTTAATTCGGCTGCCTTTGCATTTTTCCCACGTTAATAAACGGGCGTCCAGGCTGTCGGCCAACTGGACTGTTGGTCATATTCCAGTTCCAGTTCCACTCCCAGTCCACTTTTTGGGTTCCAGTTTTTTAGCAGCGAGTCAAGTGCTCTCTGCCGCCGGTTAATTGTTTCGTGGGATATGCGACAAGGGGGCGGGCAGGGGGCGTGGCACTCGGGCATTTGCCAGGAAACGGATGTTTGTTTGGGTCAGCAAACAATCGGCGACGACCGCAGCCAGGCAAACCCAAATGTGGCACACCAAAGACTTGGGCAACAAGCTTGCCGCATGCACGTGGCAAGTGCACTGGGCGAAAAGCAAAGTGATTCTAGATGGCATTAAGAGATGTTAAATACCTTAGAATGGTTTAAAATACACTGCATGCTTAAATAATCTGTTAAATATTCAGATTTATATTCTATAATCAAAAGACTTGGGCAACAAACTTGCCGCATGCACGTGGCAAGTGCACTGGGCGAAAAAAGCGTGATTCTAGATGGCATTAACAGGTGTTAAATGGGTTCAAATTCACTGCATGTTTTAATAATGGATTAAATAGTCACATATAAATTCTATAATCAAAAGACTTAGACAACAAACTTTTATTTTAAATCAAAAGGCTTAGGCAACAACCTTTTTTTTTAAATCAAAAGACTTTGGCACTAAACATTTTATGAAATCAAATGACTTAGACAACAAACTTTAATTGTTATCAAAAGACTTAGGCAAAAAACTTTTTTTAATTAAATCAAAGAACCTTGCCAACAAACTTTTTTTTTAAATCAAAAGACTTAGGCAACGAACTTTTTTTTATTAAACCAAAGGACTTAGGCAACAAACTTTTTTAAATTCAAAAGACTTAGGCAAAAAACTTGAAGTTGCAAAAACAAGAGAAATGCAATTTCTATACTTAACACCTTTTATCATTCTGATATAAGAAAGGTATGTCTGATAAAAAAAAGTATCAAACCAAATGGTGTTACTAACCTTAAAATTTCCTCTCTCCAACCTCATTTTTTGCTGCCTATCACTCGAATACCAAAGTATCAATACTTTCTTCTGGGTCAGAGAAGAAAAACACCTGTCACCATTACTTGTATTCAATTACCTGTAACATATCGAATTACAGCCGAGAACCCAAATTGTAATAATAAGAAAAAAAAGGGCAGTCATAAAAGGCAGAAACTTTTACTCATGACTTTTACCGCTTGCAGCGGAGGAAAATCTTGTAAATTAACTTAAATTAATCACAGACAAAGGCAGAACATACAGAAACTGAAATTAAAAGAAAATTTATGATCTGCGGCCGAGCCATTCCACAATAAAAGCGACAACAATTGCAGCTGGTTGTTGGCAGAGAAAGAAAAAAAAAACAAGACAAGGCGCTGAGATCTGTACAAATCTGTAATGTTGGGAAAGTTTTATATATGTATATACATATCTGCGGCTTTCCTTTGCAGTCGTATTGTTGACAAAAAGAAAAGTAAAAGTGCCATGGAAAAGATGGCGAATCGCTGGCTGGGATGATCGAGCACATGCCCAACATCTAATGGCCAAAACGTAATATGATGAGGAATGGGTTTGGATGGGTTTGAAGATGGGTGTGGGGATGGGGATGGGCATGCATGACCACCAGCTCATCATAATCATCATCAGCGGCAGATGCGGAAGCTCGCAGCCAGCTTAATTGCAATGCGAAACTCCGAAAGAAAAGATACTCGTACTCGTAGTTGTACCTTTTGCAACTGCCTGGCGGATACCTGAAACGATACCTCTTGGCATCTGCCGATTGCTGCACAATGAACCGCAGCAATTTGTTTGCTTGAAAGGGTGGTGCACGCATGCCTGCCTCCTTTTTTAAATTTTTTTTCTTTTTGCGGTTGCTGTCGCCGTTTTTACATAAGACCTGGGCTCTTGCCACAAGGAAGTAGGAAGTTTTTGGTCTCGAGAAACAAGCAATGTGCGTGGGACAGGCAGCCAGACCTTTGCAGTCTCCAGTTTTCACTTTCAACTCCCTGTAATAAAAATAATAATAATAATAATGATGTTGTTGTTAGTGCGGGTGGCACTGCCTGCCCAATACTTAGTTTCAAAAGTCCAACTTGAGCATGTTCGACTTCACCTATTTACGCAACTTTTTCGGCTTTGTTTTTATATTTTCTAGGGTTTTTTCTTGTGTTTGTATTTTTTGATTTTTTCTCGGCACGTAGGTGGACTGCGCGTGGGGGGCGGAGTGCTTTTTGAGGGCTGGGCATTGCGCAAAGCCTGTCAATGGCCTTGCCAGGTACTCGATATGTAAATCATCGCCAAGAGTGACGAGCATCCCAAGCAAGTCGCGGCAATGCTAAGCAATTGAACAAGAAACTGAATTCGTTTAAGCCACATTTTTACTGGAAAACGTTGAACAAATGTCTCGAAAATTCCACAAGAAACTTGTGAACATTTCCAGTTTCTTTACCTACAAGTTTAACCAACATTTTACTTACAAATTATATAAAATAATTTTTTGGAAATATAAAACTTAATTTTTTTATCTAGTTTTTGAACTTTTTGAAAGATATATCAATCTAGAATTTATGTTATTTAGTTAATTTCGAGTTCTGGTTATTTTTTACATTTTTATCTTAGGCCTTTTTGGCTGTAGGAGCTACTTGCCGTTATTTTAGACCCTTATTTTATAGTATTTAAGATTGGAAGATTTTGTTTTAATATAAGTAATACAGCTTGTGTATTAACCTTGGAAGAAATTTTAAAGTTCTTTTAACTAGAATGATCTTAAACGGCTTAAATGTTTCCAAAACTTAAAATTATTGCAATTGCTACTCACTTAGAATAAGTTAGTCAAAATAAATATGGTTTAGAGCTTAATATTTCATCCCTATATATATTTTTTCTCGCAATAAATACCGAAATATGCGAAATCTTACACCTAGTCTGCTTTAATGAGATGTCTCTGCCCAAATGATTTCATGCCGAAAGCTTTTGAGGAATTGACGAGGCGAGGGAGTGTCTTTGTCATTATCCAAACTGATCTGATCTCATCGCAACTCATCCCCAGACAGGCCATAGATCTCTGGGCTTAAGTTGTCGTTACTTTTCGATTGTCATTCAACTGCGGATTGTGGCATAAATTTCAATCAGTTTCGATGCCAGTCGGCTGATTTTCTGGCTGATGGTGGGCTGGGCATCGCCCCATTGCGATTCTCAGGCCTGGGCGGTGTGGCAGTATCTTTTTAATTGCCATAAACATAAATGGCATACTGCAGTTAAATATTTTTCATATATAGTATCTTGATCGCCCCGCGACAACTGCACCCGTGGTCCGTGGGCAACTTTCGCGTTTTGTTTGCTGGCTGAGATGGTCGTGTGTGAAATTTTAATGTCGCAGTGAAATGCTCGAAAAGTGAAACTAACGTCTAATAAATAAATGAAATTGTTTGCTATTAGCAGCGCATTTAAATGCCACCAAGAAAGCCGCCGCGAAAGAGAAACATGTTGAATAGAAAAAAAAAAAAGGAAAAAGAGCTGGGGAAAAATGTTGGACAGAATTTATGCGCATTTGTGTTTTTTTTTTCATTATGCTTTTTTAATTTAATTAATTGTAATATATGTACAAGTGCAATTGTGCCGTTGTGGCCACTGCAAATTGGCCACCAGCGTGATTCACGACTCACTCGACAGAC